AAAAAATCAGATCACCAGCGATAATTTTAGAAAAAAATAACACAAAAAAAGAAGAAAAAACCATGTTGGAAATAATGTATTAATTCATTGTGTTTTGTGATATAAGCTACAGTGCTTCCCCACATGATTTTGTCTTATTTGTAATAACTTGTAATTGTAATTCTCAATCAACTCAATATTAAAAAAAATAAAATTAAAAAAGATAATTTTTTTGAAAAATCATAAGAAAAAAACCATGTAGAGAAACACTAGAGCAATCCACAATATTTTATGAGAAAAAAATATAATTGTAATTCTCAATTAACTCACTATTTAAAAAATAAAATCGACAAAGATAATTTAAAAAAAAAGTTATAAAAAAACATAAAAATCATATAGAAAAACACTGTAGCAATCCAAAATATTTAAAGAAAAAACTTCAAAGCTAAATTCTTAACCATTTCAATATTAAAAAAATAAATTCAACAAAAATAATTTTAAAAAAACATTTAAAAAAATATTATAGCAAATTTAAAACTACGTGGAGAAATATTATAGTAATCGATAATGTTTTAAAGAAAAAAAATAAAACTAAATTTACAATTAATATAAAAATAAAAAATAGGAAAGATAATTTTGTGGAAGAAAAAAACATGTGAGGAATTAAAAAAACATAAAAAAAAAACATGTGGTTTTAAAGTATTGTTAGTGCTACGTTGACCTTTTAAGCCTTTTCTCTGTTCTCCCTGTTTTCTGTTTTAAGTCGATGTCCTTGTTGGCCTTGCTTACGTCCAGTTGATCATTCCTGAATTCAATGAGTCCTAAAAGCACCACGGCGCCATTTGAAGACGAGGACAAAAAAATGAACACACGAAAATCAAAAAGTGATGACCAATGGGTCCCTGAGTGACGTATTGCACGAAAGTCTATAGCCATGACGGGATACCTTCACGGTGCACGTAGATATCGCGCGTTTTCGCACAATTTCACTAAAATGCCATGCTTTCACTTATCAGCTTGTATATCTAAACATCATCTCTCGAACTCAATTGACAATTATGAACGAACTTCGTTAAAATCGAGCTTTATGAGTATTTTCTCTCTTGTCTTTTTTTCCATTGTTATCCTATTTTGGAGTTGGTCTTCTCTAGTTCTGTTTGCTTTCGTTTTGTACAGGTAGCAGCTAATGGATCCACTCGATATTGTGTATTTAAGAGAGCCGTTAGATACGATGCATCAACCTAATAGAAGTAAGTTGATCCAAGCACTACATCGATCGAGTAATTAGAGAAAAAGAAAGCATGATCTGTAATAATACTCCCTCTTCCCTGTTCTTTAATTATTTTACAGTAACCAGTTAGCCAACCTAGTTTGCGTCCGACTACATAATCATATTGTTTCTGGAAAGGATTAATAAATCAGCTTTAGTAATTGGATCTAGTCAGATCTGGCCATATTAGAGGGCTTTTCCCCCTTGAATTATTGGTGCATGTTATGATTGAGGAGAAAAACTAGCCATCAAGATTCCGAATTCCTATAGGTTCATTTTTTATTTTATTTTTTTGTCAGATGAATGTGATGTTTTAACTTCAATCTTCTTAGTTGCTGTTGTGGATGAAATACGGCAACTTCTTTGTTAGCAAGAAAGATTGTGGAATATATGTGGGTGGTGTATGCTTGAGGACATGTATTGTATTAATGGCACCATTTTGTTTCACCAACAAACCCTAAATATGTCTTTCGGAATACGATGTGGCCATAACAGAGCAGGTTTTCTAATTGCCCATGTTTATTTTTCCCTTAATTTGTTACTTATTAAAGAAAAAGGTCTTTGTGAAGGGTTTTGATCTTCTAAATTTATTTTAAATGCAGGTGGAGCCACGACATCTGCACTAAATGAAACCGCCAACAGCGCCTATGGAGCGAACCATGTGCCAATCGAGCAGTACCCGTCACCTTTACTTGGAGAGTCTCCTAACACAGCTCATGCTAATCTGAAAAGAAAAGCTCCTGAAATTGCTTTGGATCGTCAAAAGAAAAGGGAGATTGACAGGGCATATCGGCTGCGATGCAGGGTAATTAACTCATTGCTTACTTGCCATATATTTATCCTTCGTGTCTTATTATATTTTTATTTAAATCACATCCTTAAACTCTCATGCTTTGAGAGATCATGCAGGAAAAGAAAATAAAAACTGAGCAGGACTTGGTTTTGCTCACCGAAGAAAATAATAAATTAAAGAGCGAGAATGAACAGTTGAAAAGGGAAGGAGTTAAGCAGCCGGAGATGGTGCAAACCCAGAAAGAAGAAATGAAAGCAGTAAAGAATGACCTTTCCCATTTGAAGGACCAGCTTCGGATACAAAATGCTGTCGTGGAAGTGCTCTCAAGCCAAGTGGTACGTGTTTCTTCATACGTCCTTCTGCGTTCTACTTTGCCAGCCACTGCATCATATATGAAAAAAATACTTAGGTCGAATTATCTGACATATGTGGTCTTAACGTACGGTTGGGCCTCTGTCTGCTCGCTCTTCTTTCAATCTACTCCAAGAGTTTTGAAAGGGATCCAGTTTCTCTTCTGAGGGATTAATGGTGCCAATATTTCACTTGAACTGAGAAAAAAACACCTTTTTCCTACTTTGGATGACATGAATGGAAGAATTGATAAGTGATTAGAACTTTAGAAGAAACATTTACACAATTGAAACTTTATGAAAAAGAAATTATATTGAAATTAATTAACCCTTTTCTTTTTTATCCATTGCATGGAATCATTATAATTATAGCCGTTTTTCTCTTCTCACCACAACAAAATTAGCAAATATTGTGTGCCTCAGGTTTGGTGAAGCCGCATTCAGATTGAAAAAGATTAAATCATAAAAGAAGTAATACATCAATGATCAATGTGGATGGAAATCATGAGTGATAGACAGGGAGATTTAATTTTGATGTGCAAATTGAGAACCTCACATTAATTAAAGATATATAGTATAATGCAATTATGCACATAGTTTGGTTATTAGTAAATGTGATATAAATTATATTTGGAGTGTCATTTGATAATTTAACATCAGGATGGAAATCATGAGTGATATATAGGAAGATTTAATTTTGATGTGTAAATTGAGAACCTCACATTAATTAAAGATATATAGTATAATGCAATTATGCACATAGTTTGGTTATTAGTAAATGTGATATAAATTATATTTGGAGTGTCATTTGATAATTTAACATCAGGATGGAAATCATGAGTGATATATAGGAAGATTTAATTTTGATGTGTAAATTGAGAACCTCACATTAATTAAAGATATATAGTATAATGCAATTATGCACATAGTTTGGTTATTAGTAAATGTGATATAAATTATATTTGGAGTGTCATTTGATAATTTAACATCAGGATGGAAATCATGAGTGATATATAGGAAGATTTAATTTTGATGTGTAAATTGAGAACCTCACATTAATTAAAGATATATAGTATAATGCAATTATGCACATAGTTTGGTTATTAGTAAATGTGATATAAATTATATTTGGAGTGTCATTTGATAATTTAACATTTTAAATTGAATTTTTTTATACGACTCAAAATTAATTAAAAATTAAGGGTTATCTACGTATACGTCCAATGGATTTCAATGGGTGTTATTAGCAAAATAAAAATAAATAGATAAAATGATGTAGAATTACAAATATCGTTCGATAAAACTTAGCGTTTTCGTTTGCTACGTAGTTATATCTCAAGCATAACCTAGCTTGAAATTAGTAAATTTGTAATCAGCTTAAGGGTTTCTTAATTAGTGTCATTCTTTATTAAAATCTTATTGTTCTTATCATTCTTTAAAAAATAAACTTGGTAAATTAGTTGTTATCATGAAATAATTTATTTATTATAAGTTGCCTAACTTAAGATTTGTGCATATATATAACCTTATCATTTCTTTCTTGTGATTGCAGGCTAGTAGGAAAAATAATATGGATCTTCAGTGCGAAAATAAACGGCTAAGATTTCAAAAAAGTCTATTGATCAAGAAGATTGATGACAATGACTATTTAAACGACGTCATTCAACTTCAAGAAAACTACACAAAATTAGAACAAGAGAAGAAAGCTCTCCAAGTGATTATCGATGCCTTACGCGAACAGATTAAACAAGAATAATGACCTCATACCAAAACAAGCATTCTAAGGTAACATTTCTACCTTAATTATACATATAATTAACTGCTTTTTTTTATACATTCTCATCCTTAAATTATCAAATACAATTTAATCTGTATCTTGTTGTTATTTCTTGAGTTTTACTTTGTTAAGTTTTTTATTCAAGAAGTGAATCAATATGCTTTGGTCTATCAAGCGCAAACAATACACTCATATGAAATATTACAGATACTTTGACTTGATAATAATAATAATAAAAAAAAATATTATGATGTGTAAGGTAGGAGTTAATTTTTTTATATATTATAAAAGATTATTTCGAAAGTATAGGAAAATTAGCACTAAAAAGATTATTATTATAGCGAATTGTAAAATATAAAATGTATAAAAGTATATAAAAAATGATTGTATTATTTATATATTTTTAAATTTTAAATAGATTTGAATGTTTAAAAATTAAATCATCTTGAAAACTATTATGATGATTTTGAAAATATCGATCGACCATAATTTTATTTTTTCTGCTTTACATGTAATTAGTGCTACTCATATTTCATTTGATTTTTTTATTTATGAAAAAATAATTTATTTTTCAATCTAAAAATAATGATGTCATGCCTTGTCATAATTGTTTTGTGAAACAATTATTGCTTGTTTTTACTTCAATTCATATGTTTCTTTTTTATGGTGTTGGAAAGTAGATAGAATAAGTTTTTTTCTAGATCTAGATTTTGGTAAAAAAAAAATGCATATATTAATTTAATAAAGTTTTGGGATTAATAAAGAATTCTTCATCAAACACTTAAACTAAAAACTTCTTACTTTTATACCTAATTATTAACCTAATATTTCATACCATTAAACACCTTTAATTCGTCTTAAAATATCATAGAATCTACCATATCAATCAATCAATTTAATCATAAAAAATACTCAACAAAACCTATACAAAATTAACTACAAAGATAAACCACTCTCACATCCTTAATAACAATCATCTTTCCTCTCAATCAATTATTTATCATCTTCAAATGCTTTATAATCCATTAATCAAACTTAACAATATATACATCAAATGTTTATCAATCTTAATAAACTCAAAAAGATATTAACAATAACAAGAGTCATGTATATTAAATTATGATTTTACCTTAAAACCCCAATTCTTTCATCATCCATGATCCATCTTTTCTCTTTTTATTCTTTTCCTTCTCCCTCTTTTTCTTCTTTTGGTTCATCTCTCTCATCTTTTCATGTTCATTGTTTTTGTTTATTTTTTTCTTGACAATATATATTTATCAAATTCTGTGAGATGTCTAATTTGTCTCTCAATTAGAAATAACCATAATTATTCATATAAAGGCAACATAGTTTTTTCAACCTAAAATTTCCCATGGAGAAGCCAATATTATTAGTTATGAAAAAAATACAAATCCTGCAACAATGGATGAGGAGGAACACGATCTACTCTATCCTTACTCTCAACTTATTTGTCTCATATTTTTCTCTCTTGTACATGTTCGCGCAATTGCAGCCACTATCATTGCCCCCCCTCTCTCTAAATTTGCACTCTTTTCTTCTCTAAATTTGTTCTCCTTTCTTGGTTCTATTTATGGGCTTTAATAGCCACCAACTCCATCTTTTTGTCAACAATTCTGAACACCTAACTTGTGCTAAACTTTCTGCCAAACTTGCAGCCCTTGTTAACAATGGATGATGCATATCTCTTGCAGCTACTTATTACTTTGTCAAGGGACAGTGCTGCCATTCAAGCTTGGCTGGTGCACGTGGGTTGCCATTTCACATGAATGGCAGCTACCCATCAAATTCCGTGGGGTGTTTTGTAACAGGTTTTGTAATAGAGATTGTTATGGAATTTAGGGATTAGATGCTTGCATCTTGAAGTTGATTCTTTTATGTTTAGACTTTGGTAGCTGATCGAGGAGAGAGAAGGCCCTATTAAAGTTAAATGTAAAAAATAAAGTGTAGTTTAACTGGATAGTTTTGTATGAACATAAAAGAAGTATCTTTTCTTAATTCATTAAGATCTTAAACATGTGTGTGCATATCATATCTTAAATAAAATCTTTAATATATTTATTGGTATTATTAAACACTTAGAATATAAAAACACATGTAAAACACATTAGTGTTAATAATTATATTATTGAATCTTAAAATTTTATTATATATCACTTGATGAAAAAAATTGAATATATTCAACCTCTAATAATATCAGCATCACCTTCATTAATTGCTCTATTAATAAGGTCAACGAAATCAGAAAAACAAACTGAAAAATCTCTCTATAAAAAACTTAAACCTAGATTCTAAAACGATTGAAGAAAAATAAAGGTAAAAATGTTGAAAAAACAAAGAAGAATGAGGCAAAAATAATTATGTCTTGGTATGCATAACATCTTCCATTCAATATTTTTTTATACTGATTTTTTTAACCAAAATTGATACATAATTACTAGAGTTAATTCTTGTTGCTTTAATTGTCAATCATAAAAAAAATTAATATATGATAGTTTGAAAAAACACTATAAAATTATATATTTTGAAAAAAACATACAACATTTATTTGAGAACAAGAGGGTTGGATATTTATCTATCTCATAAAAAATCATCCTAAACTTTGAGTCAAAATGAACTTATATAGCTCTTAAATTTATTTATTTTTATTTGAGTACTTTAAATTATTATTATTTTTTTAAAATAGACTTTTTCG